CCGTAGTAACCCTGTATGACAATATCAACAACAGCACGGAAAATACCTTCTAGTGACCCTCACAGGAAAGCTTCGGGGGATCAAGCTGATTCCTATGCACATGTAATGGCTTACCTTCCGTGTTGCAATGATCTTGAAAAAAAATACATACAAAATTTTTGAGACCATCGATGCTACCTGATGCGTGCTGTTAAATTAGGCCTTGCTCTGGAGGCAGAATGCATATTGTCAATAGTTCAACGGATGCAAAGCGAAAAATTCACCTTTTTAATCCGCCATGAGTGAAGAACAAGATCGTCTTGTTGTGGGCGAGGATGTCATTTTGCGGTGCCCATCGAAGGATCATCACATGCGGCTTCACATCTTTCACCTGAATTTCAAATTAAAGGAGGAATTCACGATAAGAACGAAGGTCAAAGAAGGGGAAATTGCATAGTTGGGAGACAGGCGGACCTCCTGAGGGTGCTGACCGACGCAATTGGCAGCGAAAGATTTGACCTCGGCGATCTAGCATGGCTCACTCTTGGCGCGGTTGGCGGGGTACGCCCACCGACTATCTAATCACTCGCCGCAGGTCTATACGTGGCGAGTGATTAGATAGCAGAGAGCGTAGTGTTGAAGAGGGCACAGCGATGAGAGTCGCATCAATGCGCAAATCAACGGGCAAGGAAGGGGTCCCATTTCTCGGGTTTCGGGCCGTTTCAAATGGTTTCTTCTTCATCCCTGCTCCACTGACCACCTCTACCTTATTTCCAATGAGCTAACTTTTCATCGTAAATTCTGCCTTGAAGTGTATGCAAAATGTTGAGAATTTGCAGAATAGATTTCCAGTGGCGCCAAACTTTCGCTGGTACTCTCTTTGCAGGAAAGAACGCTGATACTCAGTTGGTGCCAGATGTCTACGAGGACTAAAACGTTTATTTGTACTTGTTTTGTTTGTTAACTGCTGTTTTTGGCCGCAGTTCGCCTTGCGAATGTTTCACAAGAATGCTGGGTTGTGAACAAAACTTTCGCCCCAGGCGGGACTAGAACCCGCACCTCTCGCTTTCCGGGCAAGTGCGCTACCAGTTACGCTACCGGGGCACCATTTACATTATACGTGTGAGTGCTGACAAGCTATGGTAAGTAAGCTGAGTTGGAATGAAATGGTGCCCCGGTAGCGTAACTGGTAGCGCACTTGCCCGGAAAGCGAGAGGTGCGGGTTCTAGTCCCGCCTGGGGCGAAAGTTTTGTTCACAACCCAGCATTCTTGTGAAACATTCATTTGTACCTCAATAAGATGCCTTTTTTGGTTGTTGCGGAGGATAAACTACATACACTCTAAGGTTGCGAATGCGAGAAGGGAGGCGCATCTTGAACGGAAATTGATCAGTACCGGACGTTTTTCCTTGTTTTTTCTGAGCTCGTCACACACACGGCTACAACTTCACATACATGAACATTATACGAAATTCATACGACTTCTAAAAATGATTTAAAGGAAGCGATTACGATAAGGAATTTTCGCATCGGGGGAGAACCTGCGCCACACGGAGCAATTACTTGGCTGCCAAGGAAGCGATGTGTGGCCTCCCACGGCGAAAGGTGCTGTGGTTGCTGAGCAGGACCCGCGTGACGCCCCGCCCCCAGTGACGTGACGCCCACTAGTTTTGTTGATGATCTGGATGGACTGTTTGCTGTTGGCTTTTCATTTTGGATGATCATTTCCCTTCTAGCGGCTGTATCTTCCAACTTGCCCACGTATTGCCTTATCAATCAAAACACTATGCTTGTTGGCATGATGGCGGCTATCGGGGTTAACACGTCCGAACAACGTCGTTCTTTACCGTCGCTCATCCATGGTCGAAAATGAAAGGGCAATCAAAGGGGTACTATTTTGCTTATTTTTGACGGATTTCTTTGCTTTTTTCGCCATTGGCGTACTATTGAGACCCCCACGTCCCCTCTAAACCCCTTTGAGATCTATCGTAATCGCTTCCTTTAAGGAACTAGCCCCAAACACGATGTA